TGTGTGTGTGTGTGTGTGTGTGTGTGTGTGTACATACACACACATTCCACATTCTGCTTTGGATGAAAAGTTAAGGAAAAACTACCTGTCAGAGCCTGGGTGAAATTCTGAAAGCAAGGAAGGTCGCCTTCGCAGCTGCTGCTGCTGCTGCTGCTGCTGCTGCTGCTGCTGCTGCAGAAGCTGTGACGCCTGACTGACTTCCAGATGAGACGACCGATAATCAGGCACTGCAAACTCCTAGTATTCAAACAATAATAAATCATTACTATGTTAACGAAAACTATAAAGGGCCATGAAATCAAGCTACTCAAAGGTACACAGATAGTCATGACCAATGTTTACAGATGATGCTTAACAAGGAACTGCTGCAAACTGAATCTTCGCTGTCACTACCCCGAAATTGTAAATTTTTGAGATGTTCCTTAAATACTTCCCATATTTCAGTAAAACACAAAGTATGCAGAGTATAAACTATTCACGTAATTTGGCTCCTATTAGCATATTAATACTTACTTCCTATCAACATTACCCACTGGAGTCCTGGATAAAATTCTATCTTATCTATGCCAAATGAATATTGAAAAGGCATTCCTATCTTTAGCACAAGTGCACGTGCTCACGCACACATGAAAATTAAGTGCTGAAAGTAAATGACATTTTTCTTTTGAGATATCCAGAGCAGGAAACAGATTGGCAGCTGAAGGCCCACTGAGGATACCCAGTAAATGTTCGTTCACACATGGACCTAAGAGCTTAACTGTACGTCACCACTTCAGGAGAAATCAGCAGATTTGGGATCTGAGCAACTGATATCCCCCTGATATAGGGGAGGAAAAAATCAGATGGGTGGTTCTGGTAGCAGACAAGTTAGGTCTTCAAATCTAGATGGTGGCATTGTAGGCACTGAATTGTTCAGTGAAAATGTCCAATTTTATCTCAGATGTAAATCAAATTAAGTTGTAGGAAAGCTGAGGTGATCGTTGTTTCTAATGGTCAATAAGTAAACTTCAATTTAATTCTTAACTAACTTCTAGGCCAGATGCATGTAAACAAGGAAGCCCAAGGGGTAAGAGCTGAGCAGCAAAATGAAACCTATTCCCATTTGTTCCACAGCACAGGGCAGAAACTTGGAAGAGGCTTAAAAAGCCTCCAACCCTGATAATCACCGACTCTTTACCATAAATGGCTCCAGTGTCCCCATTCTAAGAGGCAGAAAGATTTTCTCACAGTCAATCACAGGGGTTGTTCCAGGTCAGCAGAGTCACCTCCATCCCAGCACCACGAAGAATGTGCAGGAGAGACAGCTTCTTTGAGTCTACCCACAAGTGATTCAGGCTGATCGTTGCGCTGAACCAACTTTACGCACCCAGGGAGCCAAAAGTGCTCTACTCACAAACAGGCCCCAACTGCCTCCAAGGTCCAGAAGCCAAGGCAAGGGTGGGACTGTACTGAACACAGCACCAAAGCCAAGTGAGGGAAGAGGCCTGGGCATGTAGTCAGTGCTCCTGATGGCTGTGCTGGTCACGCAGCTGGGGACATCATTTTTTTTCCTCTTACATGACAATGGGATTTGATCTTTCACCAATACACATATGTAAATAGGAAAGAGGAATACATTTGTCATATGTGGAGCTAGGCGGCTCTCCTCCTCACCTGCTGGTGGCGAGTGGTGGGAAAGGTATACTGGGCAGAGTGGGCAGGGTATCGACTCTGATCAGTGCTGAAGGCTCCCTGGTTCGGAGGGTAGCCTGAACTTGACATTATCAGGAGAGAAATCTTCACTGGGTTGTGAGATCAAGCAATCATGGTTCTGGGAAACCGCCTAAATTGAGGAAAAAAAAGAATACTGATAAGAACTAAAGCACCAAGGGTACCTGTAACACATTATAACTGTAGTTACTTAAACAAAACAATAATTACCAGTAAAAGCTTTTTCTAATGTATTTATTTAACATAATGGAAGATACAGTAGTTTGGAAAATGTTAACAGGTCTTACACTTTTTTAAAGTGACCTAATATAATCATGAATAATATAAGTAGTTACATAAATGTCTGAAGGGTAACATAAGATTAATTATGAAGGCTGGCAATCCTATTAATAAACAAAATGACCACAGTTCTCTGAAAATGTTTTTAATTTTAAGTTGGATTAAATTTTTAAAAAGGCTAAAAGAAGATGTATTATTTCAGGCGTTTCTACCATTCTACAAATGAAGATAGAGACTAGACACTGCCCAGGACAGTCCCAATACGGAAAATGCTTCCGCCCAAACAGGTGAGTACCTTCTCTGCAACTTAAGAGACTTTTAGCCTGTGACAATGAGAGGTTAAAAAATCTGCCCAAGGTCACATAGTCAGGAAGTGTCCTAGACATAAGAGTCCTGCCAAAAAAAAAAAAAAAATGAAAGTCTACTTTATTTTCATTTAAGAGAACATTAAATAGGGTAAAGTACGAAATGTGCTTTTCAATGAAAACAGACAGGGATTGGGTCCCTAGCTTTCTACCTCTATACTCAAATCTAACAGTTAGCTTCTGGTGGCAACTGGCCTCAGCTGGCTGAAACCCAGTGCACAAAACAGTCAACTCTCAATTGTTCATGCTAATAGAGGACAAAGATAGTATGGGTGAAAAAGGGAACAACTCACATCTGTACTTCACTTTAAAGTTTACAAAACTTTTTCCTTACAACAACCCTATGAGGTAAGAGGTATAAATACTGCCCCTGGTATGTAATCAACAACTTGATTCCACAACTAGTAAGTTATCAGAGGCAGAATTGAAACCCAGGTCTCATGATTCTAACCACCAAACTCCATCAATAACAGCACAAGCCAGAAGCTTCCTTTAGCCTTTCATTTAGAAGCCTAAAATGATCATGGCCTCATCATGGCATTGGCAGTGACTAGCATCTCAGAAGGGTAGGCCAGCAAACAACCTCTGGCAAGTCTGACCAAGACGGGAAGCTGTATCACCTGACATGCCTGGGTATAAAATGTCTGTCTGTCATCGGAGGGGCAGCCTACTTGGAGATGCTCATCATGAGGCTGGTCCGAGGGAGATCAGTGCTTTGGCCTGAGCAATTCTCCAAGTTGGCCTAACAAGGAACGGAGAAGAAGCTCTGATTCACACTAGCAAATTCCAGACCTTCAAGTACTAAAACCAGGCTGGTGGCTCTGCCATTGGAAGGGACAAGTGAGGCAACTAGTACTTGTCAAATGCGAAACTGATATTCCTTTTACTGCCCCAAGAACCTTTCCCATTAAAGCTGCTACCAAGAAGTAAAACTTGACAGATATACCCACACACTTTTCTCCACATTAGGACAGGTGCAAAAGTGCAGGTAAATATCTGCAAGATAAATAACTAACAGCCTAAATAATCCTTTAAGACAGTATTTCCTGAGCTGTTTCCAGTGTTACATGTAGCCTTGGTGTTCTTTGCAATGTAAATTGGGGTTCAGGAAGAAAGTCTCAAAGCTTCTGCTAATTTCCTGGGACATGAGAAGGAGGGGAAATGTTCAAAACATAGCAAACGTCTTTTCTCTCTTATAGATGAGCAGGACAAAAAGATGAGAGTATCACACTTCTGCTTAAAGGCCTCCCTTAAGTGAGTCATTAAGGCAAAAGAACTTGCAAAAATTCTGCAAATAAAGCAAAGATCTCAGCATAGTTCTTTAAAAGACTGGACTGGTCCAAACTTAAAGAGTCTTTCAGAAGTAAACTGCAACAAAAGAAAACCCATCAATAAAGAGAAAGAAAGGATGGTGCACTTTCCTTTAATTCAAGAGAGACTTTTGGGACTCCTGTGGTCTGCGTTAAGTTCTTACTTTCAAACCTGTAAGACCCAAAAGACATAAGACTCTCTACATACACCTCCTGAGTCACTGGCAACCAAGTCTAATCTGGCTTCTGTCAAAAACAATTACCTGCATATTTTTCCTCTATCAAAATAAGCAAAATTACCTCTATTTTATCACTCAACTTCCAAGATATCCCCCTTACCTTCATCCATAGGATTCCATTCCCCAAAACCAACAATTATAGAATCACTCAATACATTTCAAGTCCAAAAGTATTTTATTCCCTGGACAAATTAGTTTGGGGACACTGCTTTAAAGGAACCATTAACTATTCAAAAAACTGGGAATCACACACAAATTCTATAAATCAGCATCTGTGCTTATGTAAGAAAAAATCTTTTCTTATAAACAGCCACCCCTCAAAATTCCAATGTACAAATGAAAATTATTCATGAAACAAATTTCTGTTATTTATAGTTTTTTAAAAATGTATATTAGTTTTAGTAAGGCAATAAGATGGTCAGTGTTTCTGTAACCTCCTCAGAACCATTTTCCCTTCGGGGTCCTTTTTGGATTTTGCTCTATGAAACGGATATACTTGGGATTGGCTTCTGCTTTCTTTCCTCTGAATCATTTCATACAAGTATTGCCATCTTTCTTTGTAAGCCATTTCTTATGGTGCAATAAGAAGTCACAATTAGTTCAGCCATTCCCCAATCACAAGACATGGAGTGGCTATTATTTTTGTGCTTTCTCTCTCTCTCCCTCCTATCCACCCTTCCCTCGTCCTCTAGGAAGAGATCCAAAAGAAAACAGTGTCCCTGAAGGACAGGGAAGAGAGAGTTGTCAAGAAAGAGGGGTTGGTCAACAGTGTCAAACGCTGATTAGTGTCAAATGCTGATTGGCATCAAGGAGAATGAGAAAAAGTCACTGAGGAGGGAGGTCTTAAAAGTAAACATCTTGCAGACTGTTGAGTGAAAAGGCTTGAAGAAAACAGAGCAAGTGCAAACTCCTCATTCTAAAAGTTTGGCAGTGCAGGGAAGAATATAAGACAATGGCTTAAGGGGATGGCAGGATCAGGAGACAGGTTTTTGGGTGGAGTTTTAGTTTGTTTTTTTAAATAAAAGAAATCTAAGTCCCTCCCTATAAAGGGAAGTCCCCAGAGAAAAGGGAGAAATTATAAATGAATGTGAGGATATAATCGCTAAAATTCAGTACTTAGAGAAAATCGGCAGAGAAGAGATTCAAAGGAAGAAATGGTAGTTTAGTGAAAAGGGGATATACCTCATCTTCAGGTCAAAGGAATGACGAGATCACAGGAGACAGGGAAGGCATAAGAGATTAAATCAAGGGCAGTTCAAGGTGTGGAGGAAGAAAGATGATGCAAATTCAAAATGGATGCCAAATGGCTTCTGGGCAAAGGAGCTACGCAATACAGCCAGGATTTAGAAAGGTTAATACAACAACAGCGTATAGGTTACTATAGTATTCTAAAACCAACATGGTGAGAGCCTGTCTTACAGTGACAGCTGTGGAATGAAGATTTTAAGCTGCCATCATTACTACCACCACTATATTTCAGAGAAAGAATCTGTGGGACTTTGGAACTAATTTGATGTGGAGGGACTTAGGGGATGATGAGACAGAGTCAATGCTGACTCTAAAGGGCCGGCAGGGTGGTGGCATCACTGACAGAGGGGGAGCCTTCACCAAAGGAAGGCTGGATGCCAGCTTAGCCATCAATGAAGGTCGGTCACTGGCTCATCTCTTGATAAGTTACTTCCTAGGATGAGGTCCTACAGTAGATTAATATGTAGATCATTAAACTTTATAAACCAAAATGAAGAGAATGATAAAAATTGGGAAGATAAAATACATTTAGGGCTAGTTAAGCCAAAGACTCTTGGGCCAGTAAAATTAGAAACTGTCCACAGGGAAAATTACTAAGGATAAAAATATTTCTATTATGTTTGGATTTAAGTATCTGTTTTAGATAACTCACATTTAATTTAACCTGCCCTTATACAAAAAATAGCTATTTTATTTAATAGTATCCATAGATTAAAGTAAATTTAACAAGTATTTATTAAGCACTCACTTTATTTAGGGCACTATGCTCGGTATTGGGAATGCCAAATCAAAACGGAACAAAAATCATTGTCCTCAGGGAATTGTCATTCTGATTCCATCTCTATTCCTCACTCCATTGTTTTCATGAAAGGCCCACCTGCTTGTCATCAGTACTATATTCTGCTTCCATGTTCATAGACTCCACAAACCCTAACACAATAGCTTACACTGCTATTTTCGATTAAATGGAAAAAATTTTTTAATATACTTAATTTTTGAGGAATTTAACAGGAAAAATTTCAGCCCCACCAAAATACCTGAAATGAAAAAAGAAAGCAATGGCTTCAAATTCCTACATAAGTAGTTCTCAAATTAGAAAAGGAAAGCTTATAAATTATTTCCTAATCAGAATGCATTTCTCCAAGAAATTTTAAGTTATGATCAGTTTTACAAATCAGTCTAAAAACAGCTATTTAAACTATGATGTCCCTTAAGCATACTGCTAAATTTCACCTATACCTAAACAGCATTTTACACCATTGCTTCTACGGGAAAATACATTTTGAGCTCCAAGGACCAGAAAAACACACTCATACAGCACTCAAAGAAAGATTGTGCACCAGCAAAAGAAGACACTCCTCTATCTGTAGTACCACCAGATACATACTGAGGCACTTGGACAGGGGAAAGTGCCCAATGGGAGCTTTGTCACCTGCTACCCAATTCTTGGTTACAGATACATAGCCAACTGAGGAGATCCGTCAGGCAGAGGTGGTGTTCCTAGGTAGGGAGGCCCTGAGCAGGGTACCAAAAAAGGAGGAAGTCCAGAAGCTGCCAGCAGCAGCAGCAACATATGGCTCTGACTCTGAGCACACAGGAGGGTCGTACTTAAAGCATGTAGACCAGCCTGCAGAGAAACAACCAAGGCAGGAATCCCAGACCAAAGGGGGG